AACAATTAAAAATTTAGGCTTTAATCAAAATTGCCCCAATAACCTTAAAGGATTGAACTTTTTTTACCTCGTGGTTGGGATTTGAGTTTAATGGAAAAGAATCGATTAAATAAAAATCGAATTTTATTTAATTTTATTAATCGATATGTCAACAATTTATTTTTTTCAAATGATTAATCGATTTTTGCGAAAATATCTACATCCATTTCATATTCCAAGATTATCATATTAACAATTTATTAGATCAAAAATTAAATAAACTGATATAAGTAAAAAATTATAAATTCATTACTAAAAATCGAAGTTAATGGCACTTTAATTTGTCAAGGTAAGAAATAAGGTAACGAAATATTATTTATACAAGTTTTTAGTACCAATTAACGATTTAATATAATAAAAATTAAACGATGAGCATCCTAACAAAATGGCAACCTTATTGTCTCAAAAACTAAAACATAAATCAAATAAAAAAAATTGCTATAAATGTCCAGTACTATTTTACATTCATCATCATCATCATCAGCCCACTGTAGTCCACTGCTGGACATAAGCCTTTCCCAAGGCACGCCACTGGGCACGATCTTCAGCTCTTCTCATCCAGTTACTACCCGCAACCCTACGTATGTCGTCGCTCCACCTAGCTGCGGGGCGTCCTACACTACGTTTGCCAATTCGCGGTCTCCACTCTAGAGCACGCCTACTCCAGCGAGCATCGGTTCTGCGACAGATATGACCAGCCCACTGCCACTTCAACTTACAGATGCGAAGAGCTATGTCGGTGACCTTAGTTCTCTGGCGAATTACTTCGTTTAGGATTTTATCCCTCAGAGAAACTCCAAGCATAGCTCTTTCCATAGTTCGTTGAGCGACTTTGAGTTGGTGGACCAGTCGTGCCGTTAGTGTCCACGTTTCGGCACCGTAAGTCATAACGGGTAGGACGCACTGGTTATAAACCTTGGTCTTAAGGCTTTGTGGTAGCGACGACGAGAAGACTTGACAAAGTTTCCCAAATGCCGCCCAGCCTAGCTGTATTTGTCTCTTGGCCTCCCTCTCAAAGTTGTTTTTACCTAGTTGGAGCGTTTGCCCTAGATAAATATACTCCTGAACAACTTCGAGAGAAACTCCATTAATGGCGACCGGTTCCGACCGAATGCGATCATTGAACATGATCTTAGTTTTGTCCAAATTCATTCGAAGACCGATGCGTTGAGACGATTCAGCCAGGCCGTTCAGCATCTGTTGTAAATCCTGCAGCGATTCAGCCATGATGACAATGTCGTCAGCAAATCGTAAGTGAGAGATGCTCTCGCCGTTGATATTAATGCCGTAATTTTTCCAATCCAGCATTCTAAACATATCCTCCAACGCAGTTGTAAATAATTTAGGGGATATAACATCCCCTTGTCTTACACCACGTTTTAGGTGTATTTGCTTAGTCTGCTGGTTTTGTACTTGGACGGTTATTGTTGCAGCGTTATAGAGACATCTCAACACTTCGATGTATCGCCAGTCGACTTGGCATCGCTGCAGAGATTCCAGAACAGACCAGGACTCGATAGAGTCAAAGGCCTTCTCATAGTCAACAAAGGCTAGATACAGAGGTTGATTGTATTCTTCTGTTTTCTGTATAATCTGCCTTACTGTGTGAATGTGATCTATGGTGCAATAGCCACTTCGAAACCCGGCCTGTTCCGGGGGTTGATACTCATCAAGCCTTCGCGCAAGCCGATTCGTGATGACTCTTGAAAACAGCTTGTATATATGATAACCCTATTCACACTGGAGATTTCTACAACATTGTTTATTAGGGTCTTATGGACCAAAAACCCGACACCACCTTGAGAAGGTTGTTCTCTCTCCCTGAAATACATAAGATGGCCAGATTCCAGAGTCATGGTGTCCTCCCCCTCTCTTCGGACTTCACAAAGACCAAGAATATGCCATCCTATATGTTTCAGTTCTTCTTCCAGTTGCACGAGGTGTTCATCCAGTCGCAATGTGCGTCCATTATACGTAGCCAGGTTCAATGAGTATTGGCGGCCTACCGTAGCCCGGGGCATTCTAAGCACCCCTTGCTCTGCCGTTACCATGACCGCCGCCTTGGCCAGGAATAGCAGAGCGGCCGGGAACTAGGGGCCATGGTTGTGTAGGACCTGTCATGGGAGGAATGTGCCATAATCGCTACGCTGGGCATGCGGGTTGGCGATCGCAGTACACAGTTTCTCGCACCGATAACGCTGCTGCCCATTATCAGTTTGTTGGATTTGAAACTGTGTAGATAGAATGGTTATACCGCCATTTGTCGGTCGTCAGAGCCTCGTCTGTTATTTAGCAGGATGTACCGCGAGCAGGTGAGGTTGACTTAGAGCACTGGGCTGGTGTTCGCGCTCCCATACATCCCACATTTTACATTTTACATTCAACTAATTTTAAAATAAAATACTGACAACGATAATTAAAAAGTTACGACTACGTTGTAGTCTCAAAAACTAAAGTATAAAACAAATCTTGCTTTAATTTTTAAGTTTAAATAATCAAAAGACAAAAAATAATTACTTGCACTAATTTTCAGTCTTGTTTTACGTAAGAATAATATTAAAATAAAATGAAACGATTAGTGAAAACTTTGTTTATGAACTTCGATTAAAACCCGTAATTTATTAAATCGATTTATTAAAAATCGATTATTATTACTATGAAAATCGATTATTAGAAAATAATAATCGATTTAAATAAAAATCGATTATTTTTTTAACATCCCTACCTCGTGGATGTGGCCAATATCTTTAATTTGTTCGATGATGTTTTTAAAGATGATCATTGGGCAGTTCCGTTTCAGCCTGCTAAAATGAACTCGTAGTAAGCATCCAGTAGGTGATATTATACTACGACAAAAATTCAAGCATCTCAAAAAATATAAACATAGATGGCGTTGATTTATTGCGTGAAATAGCATTTATTCATGAATTGAACTATTTTCTTAAAAAAATATTATCTTGGATCCTTTAAAGCTGCTGTTCATATTATTTTTAAGTCAGGGACCACTAGCAAATGAAACATAATTAGAATATTATTTTATAACTCTTATGTAGTTTACTGATCTTTAAACACATACCTACATACCACATATTTACGCAGACCTATAGGACATCCTGCTAATACTTAAAATTATTTTTCACACTGCACATTTTATTTAGAAGTAGTCGAAAAAAGTATTCCACCATAGTTGCTCGAGGAAAATTTCTCACACTTAAAAATATTAGCAAATTACAGAGTATGTATGATTAATTAATTTATAGCAGACATCAAACACGAGTACAGTAAGAGGTTGAAGAGTCAATATATGCATTTTAGCTCCATTGTCCTAGCTTTCTTTCTTATGGATGACTGCTGTCTCGCTGTACTCGCGACTTCGTCCTCGTGGAATTTAACTTTATTTTTCAAAAATAAAAGTAGCCTAAGTTACTCTTTATTACATCAGCTACCTGCCAAAAAAAATCCCGTCAAAATCGGTCCAGCCATTACAGAGATTAACCGGAAAAAACAGACCGACAATAATTGTAAAATTAAAAATTTTGGTGCATGCACCGTATTTATATTCATATACATGTAGTAAAAAACTGTTATTTCAATATTACAAACAGACACTCCAATTTTATTTATATGTATAGACAAAGAAATTGTGCATCCGTCTACGCTGTGGGGCACCAGTGGAGTAAAAGATGAGCATAAGGTCTGGTCAGTTAGCGCGTAACAATCCCCTTACCTAATTATTCGAATTCAACTTTTATTAATTTAGAAATGTTTAACGCATACAAAGAATGAACTTAAAAAAGGGCGTTGAATAATGGTGTTATGGCGCTAGGTAACCAAAATAAAAAAATATTACATTTTTAATATTCATAGGTTTATTCAAACACAAAATTGAAAGACTGACAGTTAATCGGACCCAAATGCATTTGGAAATCCATTTAGAATATTTAGATTTCCAAATTCATACGAAAGTAGTTCTGACAACATTAAACATAACATAAAAAACGTTACTAACAGCAATGCACTTAACAGATTTTCTAGGATCTACTCAGTAATACTCAAATTCCGTACCGCACATGTTGAACATCCGACACTGGTTTCCATCACAGAGATTTCATTACCTACACTTGAAAATTACCTTAAAAACATAGATTTATTCTATTTCTGTTATCTAGCAATGTAAATTGATGCATGATTTTCAGCTTACAATTAATAATGATCAACTAAATCTTGTCCCAGCAAAATATACCGTTATTGAAAAGGTTTTGTGGAACCTCTCACTTGCATTCATCACCTTGCATTGTTCCATACGGACCTCTGTACAAACTGGCATAAGAAAGGAATATTTTGGAGGTACAAGATCCTGACCACCACAAATGATAACAGTTCATTAAAAGAGACCCATATCCAAAATTTCAATAGTCTATATATAAGGATTACTTCGCGAGTTTATATTTTGCAACTAAAGAAATAATCATAATTATATTTCTATTAGAACCATTATTATGCTATTCTTGCTACGAGCATAATTCTTGTAATTCTGAGCAAATGATTTCCTATTACAATTTATGACTATGTATATCTTATATCAATTTTTAATTTAATCAGACTAAATAAATTCCCATACGCTATTGTCCAATTATTTCAATATTCTTTTAGAATACATATTTTTACAGTCTGTTTCTTCATATGGTATCACAATATCCAGCGTGGAATAGAAACCCAGGATTCTCTACAAGTATTCAGGCTTCAATGTATCATTTAGCTAATGAATATAAGCATAACTTATGTTTGAACAAGAATAACATAAAATATAGTATGAATAAATTAAGTACTCGCTTAAATGTAATTTATATAGGTTATGTAAGTATTAATTACATTTATTTCTAAGATATTTCAGTAAAAAATATTTGGATTTGTTTAGTAATAGTAAGTAAATACTAGTTAATTCGTATTTATTATATGTCAGGGTGACATATAATAAATATGTACATATATTTTAAAATCTTAACTGCTGTATTTAAATTTGAAATGAACTGTTACCATATAGTGTTTTGTTTGTTAGTAAGTAGAATTTAATCTTGCATCTCCTCTGGTAATTCATGTGGATTAAGAATGCCAGGCACAGATAACTGAACCCTTCGCTTCTCTTCTTGGGCTTGGCGGAGTGCAAACAAACGTTCCTCCAAATACAGATCACTATCATCTTCACCAGTGTATTCCTGGAACAAAATAAAACATTAATTACAATCTAAATAGTTAATTATAATTATATTAATTATTATCATCCTTTTTTTTAAATACATTACCACTGTATGTAAAAACAATCCTATCTATTCTTTTGTATTCATTACAATTATTGCCAACTATTTGACGGAGACCAACCGACAGTACATTACAAAGTAAAGTACAAAGAAAGCTTTTCAAATGATAATTTTTTAGGCGGGACTAATTTTAATATTTGTAGTTTAGGCATGTATTAAAATACTCTTGATAGTGGAAATATTTTTAAAATTAAATAAGTAGGCAGAACTTTTGAGCCATCTCTTGCATGAACATTGGAGTAGCAAGTCACACATATAAAAACTACAATATAACTATTGAGAAATCTCTAGCATGAACAGTGATTTAAAAAGTAAAAAGAAATTCTCTACTCTATATTAGTAGGCAAGGATACCTTAAAAATTGCACCTTCTGCAAAAAAAACTGCACCTTTTTAAAATATAACTAAATGTTTTCACACTTTTCGTTCGTGGACGAGCTGCCGAGAAGAGGATCTGACATGGTGGTAGCAGACCCCCTCCCGCTTTTACCATTATCTTCTCGCAATTCTCTTTGTCGAATCCAGGTTGGATTCGCCAAAGATCCACCGAGATACAAAACCAAAGATGGAAACAAACCACTGATTGTAAACAATGAAAAGTGGCAATTCCAAAATCAAACCATCAATTGACAAAACGCCTACTGAGGAGACTTCTGCGTTTTTGGGAGGAGCTTGGCTGGCTACTTTAGTAGCCTGGCTCTACACGCACAACGGCCCAGATGAGAGACTAACTGCGTTAAATGGAGTCCAACTTACATTAGATTACACCACATTTCGTTTTACCTATTTTGGTCTGGTGCCCGAAAATGAAGTAAACCTCCTGAAATTTTAATGGTATATTTGAATACACATACCCTTATTTGCACTAAGAAATCTCTGAGGTGATCTTTGAAAGCAGGAATATCTTGATCCAAGTTAAATAATCCTTGCACAGTAATTTTTATTTGGTTGTCTGTTAAATGTGGGAATGCTGTTTTAAGAAGGTTTGCCACATATTCCTGAAACAAAAATATGTTTTAAAATACATAAATATTTTTTTCTCCCATATGTCATTGGAATATGAATTTTAATTGAGGGCATCATTAGTAATGAGAACTAAGGACTTCATTGCTAACAATGTAACATGTCAAACCAAACAATGGGGAACCAATGTGGTCAATAAGTGACAAAATGCTTATCCTATAGAGATACAGCATTAGCTCAGGCAAGTACACCATTCCATAATTACGTATTGTAAACATGAAATGGTGTTTTCATAATAAATACTGATATAAAAATTACTATAAGGCCTATTATTTTAATTAAAATTTTGTTTAAATCTGCTACATTGAGCATATGATAGACAACAAACATTTAGTGCAGAAACTTGACCACTGCTACTGGAAATGTTATGAGCTTCTTTATTAGTACCGTTCTCTATTGGAGATCAAATTCTGGCCATTATCAAATTTACAGACATATTGGTTCACATGTCTGATAACAACTACAAGACTAAGAGTCATACATAGTTTGTCACCAAACAGTCCACACTAGGCATCCAAGCTATATCTTTATTAATTCCATAATGATGCCTCATTCGGAAGCGAAACACGTGTCGCAAATGGGTGTACATTAAATAACGGTCAGAATTTGATTACTAATAAAGAAGGTGGTAACCCTTTCAGTAACGACTTTGAGGTTTCCACACTAAATATTAATATTTGTGGTCTCACACAAGCTAATGGGAGGGATATTATAATAGGAGTGGCTGTTTGTAATATTGAAATAACCGTTTTTTACTACTTGCATATGAATACAAATACGATACATACACCAAAATATGTATTACACTTTTTACAATTTTTGTCTGTCTGTTTGTTCCGGCCTAATCTCTGAAATGGCTGAACCGATTTTGACAGGACTTTTTTTTGGCAGGTAGCTGATGTAATAAGGAGTAACTTAGGTTACTTTTATTTTACAAAATAAAGTGAAATTCCATGCGGATGAAGTCGCAGGAACAGCTAGTACAAAATAATGTTATATAATAATAACCTAGTTTAATAAAATACAAAGCAATTGAAATAGTATTGTTGAAAATATTTAATTGAATTATTTTATGAGAAAAAGAACATATTATAAATTAGTCATAGCGAGACCTGCTCTCTTTGTTGCTGTTGTGCGTTTAGCAATAGAGTGAGAGACATACATTTCAATATGACATTTATTACCTGTATATACAAGACATTGTCAGGTGTGGGTCCAAGGGCTACTGTAACGCGTCCAGCTTCGACCAAAGAGAAAATGTAAGCTAATATTGTAGCATGCATGGTGAGGCCTGCACCATGGGATGTGTCAGTCACTACACTGAAAACATGCTCCAAAATGTCACATAGATATGTCTGGTAAAAACTTTGTGCTGCCTGGGGATGCTGTTCTACATTTTGTAGTAATCTATATAATATTTGGAGGCCTGTATCAGCTACATTTCTCATTGTGTGCTTAAAAGCCCAAATTATAGAATCCAACACCAACTTAAATTGTGCTGGTGGTATACTTAGGAATGCCTTAAAACAGTGTGTATTGACAGCTTGCAAAAGTAAAAAGAACTCTGTTCTGTGTTCTGGATACTCTTCAAAATCTTTATTGATCATTTCAAGGGTGCATTCAAATACAGCATCAAATATTTTTGGAACCTCTGATGTTATATGCCCTCCCAGTTTATAGACAATTGCAGCCATACAAGACAAAACTTCTGGCTCTCGTGCTTCTGGTACTGTAGTTCGTTGATAATCCAATAGGACAGCATCAAGTAGTGGTGGAATAAAATTTTCGAGAACCATACTATTGTCAGTAGATCGTGATACCCAACTTGCTATCAGTTTCAGTGTCTCTTTTTTAATTATTCTCATGTTCTTAATGAGTGGCTGTTTAGTGACTGCAACACCATTCAAGGCAATAGCTTGACTGATATTCTCAGACATTACCTTGTATACGTTTAACATGTCCAAATATATTCTACCCAGCTGCACAACATATGGATGTGCTAAAGCACGACATGCACGCACATTAGTTTTAAGAATACTGACAAGTTGTTTGACAGCTTCTGTATCTTTAAGTATATCCACATTATGAGAAGCTTGTGATATAATGTCATCCCAAACTTGATTGGGAAGCAGCATGTATTTTTCAATTAATTGCTCTTGAGCAACTTGATCAATCTGAGCACTGATCATGTATCCCACAGCCTCATAGAATGTATGGACTTGAAGGGTTTGTAAGTCACAGATAATAGTGCTGATTGTACTTAATATTTCTTCAATAAAAGGGCAAGCTTCTCCAACTTGAGTAGTGACAAAGTGACGTCGACATTTGAGAGCAATTTTTATAAATGTGTCACATGCCATATCTTGCACACCATCATGAGTCTCATGCATGAACTCAAAAAGTTTATTTACAACAGTTTTCAAGAATTTCCAGTGAGCACGTAAGAAACGAGGATATTGACCAACAACATACATAATATTGCTGGCAATAATGGCTTTATTGTCTTTGCCCTTTTTCTGTTCACATAAACCCAATAGCTCTTTGATAACAACAACCAAAAAACGTTTCTCATCTTCTTCCATCATGGCTCCAGAAATGGAACCTATAGCCCAACACAGTGTATTTAGATTTTTCCATGACCACTCAGTACCATTAACTTGATTCTGCAATTTTTCGGTCATGATGCGTTCTGTGTCCTGGTAATCCAAATGGGTTAAATAAACTAATGTTTCTCGCATATTCTTATACAGATTTATTGAGTCAGTATCTTTCATGAATTCTCTCACAACTTCTCCATTTTCATTTTCAACTACCAATACTTCTTCTGGCTTTGCCATTCGTGATATCATTATATAACGCACACTACTGAGAACTTCGGCATATAAAGCTTTTCTGCCCACACTCTTACCCATACTGTATAAACTGGAGGAATGTGAACATGGAGACATTTTATATAAATCAGTAGCTAATGCATTCCAGTACTCCAAACAAATTTTAAATATTTCCACTTCTTCTACTTCTGATATTAGAACCAGATAGCGAAGTGCATTCATCAGAGTATTTGTGAGGCCTCTTCTTTCAATAAGCTCTCCATGCTCTTTTAAATATGTGCACAAAAACAAGGCTAAATTTTGTATAAATACTTGTTCTTGATGTCTACCAGTTGCATAAGCTTCACGAATGTTGGTTGTAAGTGGAAGCATTACCTCTAGTTGTTCCATGGTTTGCACAAGCAATGCTACAAATTGTTCCTCATAATTGCTAACTATAACTCCAGCAATCTCTGTCAAACAGCTCAATGTGACATTACGAAACATAGGCACATTCAGAAATTTAAATATGAGAGTGCTTATTAATTTCATTTCAAATATATACCCAAGAGGTATCCAATTCAAAAATCGTAGCAAAGTGTGAAGTGTTGCATCAACTAATGGTGCATTTTGGGAGTTTTCGAGTACAAATTGACATAGCTGAAAAATTTGACTGAATTCTGAGCACATTGTATCTTTGAGATGTTTCGCTTTTGTCTGTGTGAGTTGTCCTGTACTAAACACAAACACTTCTTCACTTAATAGTTTCAAAATTACCATGTTATTTTGACAAAGACTCTCATTTGTCTTAGAAGCACCCACAATGTCACTAATGAAAGTTTCCCAGTTGTGGGGCCATTCTCTTTTTAACACCTGAATCAATATCATGTTGAGTTTCTTCAAATATACTTTGTTGTTTTCCATAACACTAGGGTCAGATGAATTTTTAATAATTAGACCGACAATATATTTTTTAATCCCTTCACACTGATTTCTTGGTAACACTTTCCATCTAGTCTGTATGACTTGCTCCAATATTTGTAAAGCATAATATTTTGTTTCCTGATTCTGAGAATATTCTAATATAGTATCAACACGAGTCCAGGCATCAGGATGTTCTTTAAGAGCGGTCAGTATGTCCTGGGCAATGCGTTGCTGCTCTCCTACTGATGAATACAAACATCCCACGATATTATCAAGTAAATTTATGTCTAATTTCTGATTAAAGTCCAAGAGTTTAGAAGCTTGTTGCTCTAAACTATCCATTCTGACTTTGTTGCAACTTAAATAAAATTTGTTCCCCTTTTAGCCACTTAAATTGATTTATTCACATTCATTCCTCACCTCATACGGTACTGCAAAGAAAAACAAATACAACAATTAGTAATGAATTCTACCTTAACCTATACAATGTCTAAGTACAATTAAATGCATGCATTGTTTTGTTATTACAATCTGTTTCTACTAACATCGTGGAACATATTACAGGTGAATTACGTTACATACTATAACAGAATTAAATAGTAATAAATTCGCATACAATTTCGTGAGAAAGTCAAATAAATAGCACACACCCCGTATGATATTCACTACGATTATTGGAAATACAACGAGTAAAAAATAAGATAAATGGGATAAACGAATCCCATTTTTGCTGTATACAGTTCACATTTAGAAGAAAATAGGACAATATAACTTACCACAGAAAAATTACTTGCGGCGCAATCAGTCTAACACACTTCCATACACACAGCACTAGTCCGTTGTTTTCGTGAAGCTTGAAAAAGCTTACATACATGACATTGTCTATGCTTGACACTGTAATTTAAAAATATTCATTAGTGGTCGTTTTGTATTAATCTTATAAACAAGTGTAAGTAATGTTAATGCTTATTTTGTATTATGTAACAAAATTGAGTAGTGAAAATGAAGGAAAGAAAAATGTAATATTTTTTTATAAATATACATATATCCATTACATGTATAGTTGCTTTAGCGAAGCAATGTCCCCCATTTATTTCACGCTTCACTCTTTGCAGGGTTGCCAACCGTACTCGGATTCTCTTACCTACAATTTTTTTTTTCAATGTTTTCGCTGTGGTCGTCGGTATTTGGAAATTATTTACTTTTGTATTCGTACGAACTTTTGGCCTATGGTTTATAAGTATTTTTTACAGTAAGCTAAATTTTGTAGTGCATGAATATACATAATATTTAAACCAGTAATTACTTATACTACTACGTACTGTGAACAGCATTTGCAAGGAACTTTATTTACAATAATTAAAATATAATTTTCTATGTTTTAAATTTTAGTGGTGATTACCAAAATCAACGAGAATTAAAAATATATTTAAATAATGTGATGAAATTCCGTTTCGAATATTGATCAGTAAGATAATTGTAATGCAATATTTAATCGTAAATTAATTTATTGCATAGACCACTGCCTTTGTTTTTATTTAATATATAGATATTGTAATCAGTATGTATTAAATTAGTCCTTTATCTGACTTCTTGGATTTCCTAACTTGGACCAATTAAAACAATGGATTTTTTACCATAAACAATACTGTCAATTCCTGTCAATGATATCATCTGTGACTGAAGATATGTGACTTGTTGAAAAATTCAATATCAATCTATTAAAATTTGCCAATCATGAGTTTAATGTCGCGCAAATAATTTAGTGTTCTATTATTTTGTAACAACAGGCAATAATAGAGCAATATTGAAATGTCTAATGTGAATGAGGAAACTACCGGCGAGGTAGGAGAAAGCAGATTAATTCCTTCGGAAAATACCACCCATAGCCCCAGAGCTCTTTCAGAGGATCATCCAGATGTAAGTTTTTTTTTTACACTTAACAGTATGCAGTAGCATAGTCTCATAGGTTCTTTTATTTAACTTATAGGATATACCTGAAGAAAAAAATGGCATTTCGTATATTTACTTGAACATATAAATTTGTTCCAGGTCAATGCTCAGATTGATGAACAGCGACGTAGAATGCAACCAACGAAATTAGAATCGTTTTTTGCAATAACAAAATCACTTATAATTAGAGCATTAGTAGTTTATTTTATCACATCTATGTTCCGTCAACCGTCTGCACCGAAAACAGACGTTAGTAACCCTACTGCCGCTTCTCGAATTCCAGCTGTTAATATGTTTATTAATGGCACTGTGTTAGACATGTATTGTTATGTGTCAGAGAAAGAGTTCATTGGAAATTTGCAAGCTGAAAATTTAATTTGGAAACATACCGGACTTGTATATGGCGATTGGAACGCAGGACCGAATGGCGATGGTACATATACATATGCAACAAATATTGCACCATCTGTAGTATTACAAAATAATGGCTCAATATATCTACATGTATTTGTGGTACCATCTGGTAAATCACCGGATCCTGAGAATAAACAAGAATATGCTGGTCCCTATGTGACATATGGGAAAAAAATGTTAAACAAATATAAGAAATTACGTTACTTAAAAACTCATAATTTATTAACTGGTCAAACTGAGAAATCAGAGGAGGAAATAAAGAAAGCTGAAACATTAAAGGAAGAAATAGTCTCACACTGGCATCCAAATTTAACTATTAACATAGTAACTGATCAAACTAGCTGGATGCAAGGCAGTGTACCACCACCATTGGATGAATTTATATTATTCCTGCCAGATGGAAAACAATATAAGCCAGCAGTATTTCTAAATGATTATTGGAATATGATGCGTGACTATGTACCTATAAATAAGACTACTACTGATTTAAAATTACAATTGACATTTCAACCATTGAGTCTTTTCAAATGGCAATTATATACAGCGCAAGCAATGAGAGATAAACTAAGTATGTTCTCAGCCTTAGGTGCTGATGAGCAAGATGAGGAACAGGATACAGTTAAGGAATTGCTTTTAGATACATCACCTTATTTGTTGGGTCTAACTATAACTGTGTCAGTATTGCATTCTATATTTGAGTTGCTGGCCTTCAAGAATGATATCCAATTTTGGAATAATAGGCAGTCTTTGGAAGGGTTGTCTGTGAGATCAGTATTCTTCAATGTCTTCCAGTCTACAGTTGTTTTATTGTATGTCTTGGATAATGAAACCAATGTAATGGTTAGAATATCATGTTTTATCGGTTTGATGATAGAAATATGGAAAATTAACAAAGTAATGGATGTGAAGATAAATAGAGATGACCGTATATTTGGTATTCCAAAATTGACATTCACTGATAAAGGATCTTATGTAGAATCTAGTACTAGGGAATATGACACTTTGGCATTCCGTTATCTGAGCTGGGCTTGCTTTCCACTTCTGATTGGATATGGTATATACTCCTTGTTATATCAAGAACATAAGGGATGGTATTCATTTATACTTAATATGATGTATGGTTATTTATTGACTTTTGGTTTTATAATGATGACTCCTCAGCTATTCATAAACTACAAGTTGAAATCAGTTGCCCATCTGCCATGGCGAATGATGACATACAAGTTCCTAAATACTTTTATAGATGACATATTTGCATTTGTTATCAAAATGCCAACAATGTATCGCCTGGGATGCTTCAGAGATGGTGAGCATCAATATCTAAACAAAATATAATGAACTCAATATAGCTCTCCAATGAATCTCTTGTAATTTATCTTATCTTCTTACAGATATAGTTTTCTTCATATTCTTATATCAGCGCTGGATTTATAAAGTAGATCACAAACGTGTAAATGAATTTGGTTTCTCTGGTGAAATGGAGCAGCAACAAAAACAAACAAAGAATGGTGCACCTGCTTTAACAGAAGCAGAGCAACGGCCGACAGATAAGAAGAATGATTAGAAAATCTTTTCTGATTTATAATAAAGAATTGTAATTTACTTATATACCATTTAGCAAATGTTTTATGTTGTGAAAGGTATGTGATTAGTGTTTGAATTTCTTTATTAATAGTTGAAAGACCTCTAATATATGGAATAGATGTAATGGTGTTTATATACTTAGTAAATTGTTGTTAGCCAAATTATATGCTTACTGGCTACATTGAATGAATGTCTAAAGTTATTATAAATTACTTTGATATACAATTCTTGAATTTTGGTTGTCAAGTAATTATTGTCTGATACTGCTCTACCATACATGTGGCATATTTTTTACTAGCTACTTGACCTGGCATCGCATGGGTGGGTGTATGTGTATTATATATATAAACCTTCCTCTAGAATCACTCTATCTATTAAAAAAACTGCTTCAAAATCCGTTGCGTAGTTTTAAAGATTAAGCATACATAGGGACAGTCAGCAACAGTGACTTTATTTTATACCATACTATGTAATGATTTGGTACTTCTAATACATACATATAAGTTTCACCATTATCCAGAGTAGCACTAGTATAATTATCTGTGTATTATTTGAATTTTCTCTTAATTAGTTGTACAGAGACTATTCAATTGAGGAATCCTTTATGTTATTTTAATAAGTAGTTTTCTCTTCAACACAAATATCTGTTACAAAAAGTAATTGAAAAGGTTATAATTCCAATTTGCTTCCGTTCATGTTTATTATGTATTTACTCAGTACAGTCTGTTTAGGTTATTCAATTTTTATGATTTACTCATAGACATTTTAAATTACTGAGAATTTTTTTCTTTAAAAATATTTTAATATATTACTATACTTCTTACACAGTAATATGGAATAATATCTATTGCTTCTTCAACTATGTATGAACCGTCATTACACACTTCACTAAAACTTTAGTTTCTTGAATTTTCCAACTTGTTTACTAGTAAATTTTTTACTATGTTTTGTGAGAAAAATTGTTATAAAAGTAAAAATATTATTGCAAGTTAGTAAGTAGGTTGCATTGCCATAGAATTTAGAAAGATTAAATATAGTATTGTTGATATCATAGCACCATGTTTATGAAGATATTAAATTGTTGTCTCAATATTTAAAATTTAATTTGTATTAATATTTTGAATAATTACATTCTTATTAGATTACATATATTACGCACAGATATTTTATTAATTGATTAAACTAAAAAGATCTTATAGTTGCGTATTTCTTAAAATTACTAGATTTATATTGTCTTTTTGTTTTACAACATTACTGCTTTAGGGTTACCTTATTTCAGAGTCACCCTTAGGCTGAGAACTGGGTTTGTTGTGTGATAATTTTATTCTATACATTATCTACGATGAGATACTTCCAGTACTCGTGCCCAGCACTTGAACTATTGTCACATATGAAACACACCTATATATGGAAATGATTGGTGATTGAGATTATCTCGGTTGAAAAATGTACTTGATGTACATGTGTAGGAGTAGACTTCTGTCAAAATGGGCAACTCCTACATGTTGTAAATATGTTCTAGAATCTGGCAGATTGGTTACAGTAAGGTAATAAAACAACTGAAATATCCTCAAATTTACTTTACTGAGATCATACAAAAATTGTTGCAACAGAAATATTGACTTCATCTAAATCCATGTTCATATTCCTCCACTATTGTGAGATCTGTGAAAACTGGATTGCTAACAGTTATTTTTAAACTTTCGTGTTTATTATACATTATTTATATTATTAACCGGGTCTTAACACGGATAATTTTGTGGTAAATAAAGGTATTTACCTCTCTCGACGATAGTGGTAAATACCTTTATTCTCATATTATTTGTCTTCAGACCTAGTTAATAATTTGTTATTATAAATATAATGTTTATGTTATTATAAATAAAGTTCACTGGTAGTTAGCAGATCTAGCTTTTTTTGGTTATTTATACCAATTTGCTTATCGTAGTGATCAGACAGGAAGTATGTACGTATACCAATATTGATTATAGTTGGCAGTTAATTAATTTTAATTAATTAAGACATTTATTGTTTGCCTATGACGTGCAATTACCGCGAAAAAGACATTTGTTGTGTAATAATACACTTGTTCTTGATTTTTCTCAAGTATGGCCGCCCTTACAAACTGCTATATACCATTGAGAATTGGTTTAAAAATGTTTTCAATCATCGATATACCCTAGGCCCATTATTGTTTCTAGTGCAGGAGTCTTGTTTTGTTATTTACTTCACGGAATTTCTTGTCGTTTCAAAAATATCGGTCTTCTGTAAGGGCTCTATTTACTTATATTTTTTTAGAGAAACCGTTTGTTCAATAATATATTTATATTTCATTCATTCCTAAATATTTGTGAATGTGTTTCGAACTATGATAATATTTTCAGGTATCTGAAATATATTTCAACCGTTAAAAGCACAACCTATTATCAATATAGAACATACAAGTTTGTAAGTATTATAATAATAAATTTGTTGTTTCTAAATATTTAAGAATTTATATTATTTCATCCAATCAACATCTTTGAGAGGTTTGTCGAACACCTCGTAACTATTGTACTATATTCCACAATCTTCCAACAGAAACCTATAATGTATTGCTGTCTTGTCTTTTGTTTATGTTAGATTAACACCAGATTACAGATTAAGCTAGAGTTGAAGCTTATATTCGTAAAGTGCGTTGTTCTTTTCCTTACAATTGTATTTATAATCATCAAAGTATTATTTATGAGAACCTCGGTGGTCTAGCAGTTTAGCACACCACCTTATTTCCAACGGTCGTGGGTTCGGTTCCTCGCACTATGGAAATATTTGTAGGTAAAAATATGTATAGGTATCTTGTATGTTTTTTATGTACATATATCATGAATGTATTTACAGTAAAGAAATATATTTATATATTTCTATCACTTGTCTAGTACCCAAAAAAACAAATTGCCTAGTTTGGGAGTAGATGGCGCTGTTAGACCCAGAGTCAGTGGTTAATTTCCTGAATCATTACTACTCAGGCAAACCATACCATACATCATTTAAACCATAATACAACAACTTAGTTGTACATATCATAATATCTTAAGAGATTCCAATTATAGATGATTGTTAGTAATGGGGACTCTACTGTCTTCCAATAGTAGTCTAATTGCAACATACGATTATTGTTTTTTTATGAATGATGAGGGAATTAGTATTCCCGGGTCATAAAGTAATATATGGTCAGGGTACTGACTGAAAATTATAGTATGGGGAATGGAGTCAGGTGGTCGGATAACCTACTATCTGAATATAATTAAGGAGCACGCACGATGGTTTTGAAGATGGACTATGTGGAGGTAGAATGGACGTTTGTAATTTAATAAAATAAAAACTATAATATATGAAAATCATGAAAGGATAAAAATTTGAAATAAAAATATTAATTTGAGATTTTTATCTCATATATTATAAAACGATGATACGAGTGTCTAGCATCTTTAAAAATGATAGCATTTATGAATCAGTAAGGTATTTTCCAAATATTTTAACATCCTTCTTTTACAATCGTTTACGTTGGATGTTATAATTACAACAATGGATTGATGAATGGATAATACAAAAATATTCGTGACAAGTACAATCTTCAGAAATAAAACAATTACAATGTACAACACATTAAAAAAAATACATAATCGATTTTACGAATACTGACTTAGAACAGCTTATACTTTTCATCCTCAATCTGACACACTGACGAAAAATTGAGTAAAAGTATGGATAAAATATTCTTGTGTGACCAAATTATCGTTAGGTATTCATTATATTTTATATAAAAATAACTCTCTTCCATTATTAGAGCCAACAAAAATGTATCCATGCAAGATCATTATATTCTCCTGTTCGCCAGCGAGAGGAGCGAAACCTTAATCACTCTCTACACTCACTACATTTTCAAACATCGCCAACATTTAGGTTTACTTAGTTAATCCTCTAGTTGGTTTCTTCATAAAAATTCAAATTTGTTTCTTGAGCATTTTGAAAATAAATCAACTCCTAATTTGTAATGTTATCTGAACGGACATCCAGGTGCCCAGTGGCCGCGGGCGCCGCAACTGTAGCAACGTCCGTACCCTCCGTAGTAGGAACCAGGTACACCTGGGACGGTATTGTTGCTGTGCCTGTGGTTTGTACTTCCAGATTGGTCTGCATCTGTACACATTTAACAAATAAATTAAATTGATAATATTAAACACCTAAATTCGAACTCAAAAGGCCACCAATTTCCAATCTATCATGTATCATTTCAATAATTCAGGTATTAGGAACCTATTATAAGACAATAAATTACATTGTTATGGTAATTTATGATTAGGGAACTTACCACCATTGAGGCCGGCAATAGGAATATCTGCGGGGGACTCCTCGGTATCGGAAGCATCGTCATATCCACTGTTGGTATCTGATGATGCATAGTACCGCCGTCTTCGATATGGCCAGAAGTCGAAATTGTAGTCGCTGCAAAGTTAAAATGAAACAAAATGATTTATGAAATATATATGTACGCGTGAATTAAATACGAAAAGTAACATGAAATAAAAGTAATATATAAAATGTATTTATTTCAAAACCGATAAAGAAAATTATATAATTATATATCTAATGTCAAAATCGACGTATAGATTAGTTAAGCAGGCAATAAAATATTGCCTTTCATGATGCTACAATTACTTATTTTTTGTCCTGGGTAATTCACAGCGTTATCTAGTTCTAAATTAAGCAAATTTCATGACTTTTAGTCAACCGATAATAATAGAAAAACATACAATACAACAAACAAACTAATACAATAGGTGATACAAAGGATCGAACCTGCGTCCGTTAGATGCAAGGGAGTGCGCTAAACCACTAAATCACCGAGGTTATCGAATCATCGACAAATGATATCTTTGCGTCTGAGATTATCATTTTAGCTGGTGGATTATTTTGTCCCTTTTTATGTAATCAAAATTATTTGAAAGAAAATGATATAATCAATCACAGCAATAATTATTGATTTACTTTGAGATTATAAAGAATACGATTTCTTTGCTTTACGGGATAATAACATTATTTCAAACAAATTTTCTAATTAAGTATTCTTTGTATCCTAGATGTCGAATTAATTATTATCTGGATACACACTGTACTTCTATCACTATTTTTTATGAATATTTTCATTACCATGCTAATAAAATAGTGGCAGTGAGCATAATATCAAGAGACTCCATTTATTACGAATCGTCTCTTAGCTTGAAGCAAAATTTCTACTTTTTTTATACAATTGCATTAGTTGAAGCAGACACTTGCTTACTTTTTAATTACTAGCATTAGTATCAAGCAAACATTGTGAAAATTCAATCTTACGTGATTCAAGGTCTATGGACCTCAAAGTAGACGGACTGTCCGTGGGGAATTGTTACCAATGGTTATAAATTACAACAATACAAGTAGCCTCAGAAATACTTCGGTCGATACACATATCTCGTATACATACGTGCGTATTTAGGTATATACAATTGCTTCGGACTTTGTTTCTCCTTGCTTGGTTTGTTTTTTATAATATAATTTTTTCCTTTTTTTATACGATTTACACAATTTAGCGCGTGTTATGTTCAACCTTAAAAAAATGCGCATATAAAGAGAGGTTTTTAAAGAAACGGTGAATATAGATTTATCGATGAACTGTAATAAATATATTTAATATTAGGTATGATCAGCAGTCCAGGCAGCAGTCGGAAGATTGACTCTTTCGGAAGCCTAATCTTGTGTCGCACAATATCTCTATCATATATATTGTAACGGTACTCACTCGTCCTCGTATTCCTCCTCCTCCTCCCCCTCCTCGAAGAACTCGGAATCACTGTCCGAGTCTCCATAGCTGTAATCTCCGCTGAAATACAATTATTGGAATATTATAATATTAAAGTAAAAAAAAAATTGCCCATATAATATAGACGGACGAAGCAAAATTTTAAAACTTTTTAAAGAATGGTAGAGACAAACGAAAATGATTAGTGATTTTTAGTTAGGTAACAACTCACTTACATCTATATAATTTTCCCTTTAACGTTAAGTTACATTTTTTTATATAAGTCTAATAAAAAGGTGACGTTGGGCAGGCGGTCTGTCTAGAAAGTGTAAGCAGAATTCTAGGTAATATTGGATTTGATCATGTTACACCCACATCAAATCACTATAATGAGGACAAGACGATGTTGAGTTACGGGATACCCGTATATACTTATCTACTAGCTGTCTACCGCAGTTTTTTATTATCACACCGAGTGCGATGTGGAAATTAATAAAGTATTGTCTATTATAGCAAGGAATAATATGGCTTCCCATAAGAAATAAATGCTTATGGTACCATTACATTCATAAGTTTTCCCATATTTTGGTGAGGGTATTTTATATGTAGAAATATAGATAAATGATGATCATCATCTATGTTTTTTGTGATTAGAAATTAGTAAAACTTTACACAGATGGAAGCATACCGACTGGTCCCTGCGCTGGGCTGACGCTCTAGCACTGACTCGAGTTCTGCAAACAATACAGCTTCATAAAACTACTCTATTAACACAATTATGACGGCCTCGGTGGTCAAGTCGTTTAGCACACCGCTTTACTGCCGATGGTCACGGGTTCGTTTTCTCGCACGGTACAAACATTTTTATTCTATGAATATTACGTATGTATTTAATTATTTCTATTAGTTGCCTAGTACCCATAACAAGCTTGCTTAGCTTGGATCTCGATGACGCTGTGTGAACTGTCCTGGGTTATTATTAATATTAATTGTATTTTATATAATAGATTTCTCATATGGCAACTTTACACCTTTGAATACATAGTAATAGACCTTTTCGGCAGTATTTCATATTAGTAGAACCTACTTAATTTAAAAAATCTCAATTAATTATTATTGGAGTGTTATTACGTTATACAGTTAAATCAGAATCAATAATAATCTACATAGCTTGCGACAATTTAAACAGAACTTGCAAAACTGACACAGTATTCCTACTGTAGTTTAATTACTATTATACTACAGTAGGAATACTATTCTATATAATTACTATACTATTAGATTTCTGATTTTCTTTTATTTTCCATTTTTTAATCTGTTTACTTTATCTAATCGTTTTTATTTAATTCTTTTCACATGTCAGGAAATTAAATTATGAAGCTGCATTGTTCACATACGTTTAAAAAATATGTTAATGGAATTTCTGATTTCTATTATATTATTAAACATTGTATTAAATTTTCAAATGAATATTGTACACTGGCAAAAACATACACAGTAACTAACTAGTTAGAAACAAATACTTTGTTTTTCAAAACTTTGAATAGCCACTTAATAAAAAACGCACTAAACATATAAAATTATTTAGACAGCCAAGTTGTTCTACTGTGCTAGTAGAACAACTTGGCTGGCTTCACTAGGACGAAATCAGATCTAAACTCATTATAAACTGTATCGTGTTACTAAATGATGTAGGAAGCAGGAATAATATTACGTTGAGATAGCTCCACGGACACTATAACAATCAAGACAATCAAAATGCTGACTACCTGGCAAATTTAGGTGTTAAACAGTCCAACAGAGATCTGAACTCTTCTATAGAATGCCTCAATGCCTAAAACTGGGACACCTCAAAGTAATAACTAAATAGAAAGCACTGAATTACCTGGCCGAAAATGCCTGGATTAGTACTAGACATTCAAAGCTATAATAACGCGATACTCGAATCAATATTCGAATAGACTAATGCTATTGAGTAAAATGACATATACAATATGTTTAGGGACTTGACACAAATTAAAAAAATGCAATTTTTGCAAAGTAGAGAAAATAGTAGCATAGTTGTAGCCCACTCATGCATAAACGAAATATCTCCCATGGAATGTATAAGATACTCCATTCTGAGCAAATAAAATGCATTGCTCCTAAGAAAATCCTTCAATTCTTGTCCTGATGGGTACTTGAAAAAGGGCGAGCACAATATATTTCGGTAGGTCGCAGTGCTACAGATCTAAAACACCTAGCAATAGGCCAAATAAAACATAGAGTAGCTATTATATATATTATTATTACTCCAAGAAGTATTACTTTATTGATTGATATTTATTATTGGGATCTTTGGGGGAGGCCTATGTCCAGCAGTGGACGTCTTCCAGGCTGCGATGATGATGATGATGATTTATTATTGACATATTATATACTGAATTATGCATGCCAATTAACTGAGATATCAGTGATATATTTTTGGCTTGAAGTGTGGTGAATTACTCAATTATACCATTTAGATGGAAAGAAAATTAAATAGAAGACAGAAGACAAAAATGAAAGTATCTTTTTTAATTTACAACAGGTTGGATTAACAGCATTTGACTGTCATCGGCATGTTTAACATAACGCCTCCATCAAATACGCTATATGTGGATGCTGAATGTATAGTAAAACTTTAAAGATTGCTTCAGAGTCATATTCAGAAGTAGAATTGTTAGCCACACAAATGCTCTAGACCAGGTGAATTACATTCAAACAAGAAAGAATACAAACTTTGATTTTACCTTCTCTGTTCTTGAGTAAATCCTGTCTCTTAGTCTTCATTTCCTCTGTGAGATTCAAAACGATTTTATCAATGAATGAATCTATTACTAAACTTTTACATTCTGAAGTAATAGGAGCCCTGTAAATTGTCAAATGCATTAATTACTAAAAAGAAATTCAATTGTGTACTTTATCCTGGGGAGTGGGTAGCTGTGATTGAATAGTATTTTCATTCTCATTTCGTAGTTGATACTGTTATTAAAGTTGCTACAATATAAAAATATATAAATAGCCTTCTTTTTTTTTTATGGATGATAATGGAATGGTGCATCCACCTGCGCTAACGGTTTACGCTGGCGGGACACCAGTGGAGAGTGATAAGATTAGCATGAGGTCAGTTAGCCCATCAACAACATTGACAAATTCACCTAACAATCCCCTTTCCACTTCCACTTTTGCTTTTAACCTACTATATTTGTGGATCTAGAAATTAGATACAAATGCAGTACTACAAATGAAATTATGTACCTGCAAATAGGACAATCCTTTTTCTTCTTCTTCCAAGATGTAATACAATATTTACAGAAGGTATGCGAGCAATTTAGAGTGATTGCGTTTATAAAGAGTTCAGCGCAGATACTACACTGCAATTCACTTTCTATGACCTCTCCAACTTCAGCTAGGGTGCTTTGTTTTGATGTATCTTCCTTCACAGGATCTGGCACACTTTCCATGAGATTTTTATTCTCAGTTTCTACAATTTCTAATTGCTTTCTCATCTAATAGGAAAAAAAAAGAAATCCCAATATAATTTGTAATTTAGTGTTGTAGCCATTTTATATAACCAGATGTCACAATAAGATTAATGTGATGTCTGGTTATATAAATCTTCAGTATGAAGATATTAACTTAATCTGGTTAATTTGTTAAGATTACATTGTTAGTCTGACTGTCTAACATTACCTTCTCAAGCTGATCTTGCAAAGAACTAATGACTTCACCAGACTGCTCAGCTTGTTTTTGGATCCTTTCAGCCGCTAGTGCTGCTAATTCAGTTTCCCTTTGTGCAACTCGCAACTATAATTGCACAAATATATCAGTTACATTTAGATTAAAAAATATATTTATGTGGAACAAACTACTACGGCGCGGCGGCGGTCAATGGCAACTGTGGATGAAGTATATACCAAGATTAATGACTGGCCGTTTAAATTAGCTATTTATTTTCAATAATATTAGGCTATAAAGTTGGATGAAGAAGTATTTCCATAACAGGAAATAAGTAATTTTTACTTCAATTTTGCCCATAAACAGATTTGGATGTGTTATCGAATGGATAATGAATTGGTATAGATTTTTTAAGAAAACTATGGTTGTTAGTGGATATTAAAATGTATATTAGTTTGTCCTCACTAATTTAAATATCAAGCTCATGTAAAATCAATTCTTAATCTAATTAATCAAACTCTCAAAAAGTATATCTTGTAAAAAAAGGATTCAAACAGCAATGAAGGGAATAATGAAATGGGAAATTACATTCTCATTAGACAGACTCAGATATATTACAATACAGAACATAAGAATTGAAAAATTCACATGTCTCAAATCAAAAATATCTACTTAAATAATAATTATCCAGGAAATAATCGTGTGTCAAGAAAATAATGAATAAAGTAAGAATAACATAAGGAAAGAAAATTATTATTAAATAATTTTTACAGTCTAAAAAAATGATACCTTAAGTTCTTCCAGAGACTTTTCAGAATTGACTTCCGCATCAGCTAGCTTTTTTTGTATTTCCTCTCTTTCTTGTATCTATAAAAATATATAATATTGAAATATCTTACTAATATTATATACATGAAACTTTGTTAGTATGAATGGATGTTTATTACTCTTTCATGCAAAAACTACTCAATGGATTTTAATTAAACTTTACAGTAACATAGAATTTATATCAGAATAACACATAGGCTATAGTTTAAAGAGATTTTATGATGATAAGAGATATTGTCTCTTATCTCTCAAAGTAAATTGGGCTAAATATAATGATAAATGTCAAATAAGTGTGAATTTAACTAGTATTTTACAGTAAAGGCAAGATACATTATAGAATTATAATAAAATTGTAACTATAAGATATTTCATATCTTGCAGTATTCTATATATTCTTTTATTCATATCATTTATGCTGATATACAAGTCTTCTTCTCTTTTCACTGTCTCGACTGAAACCAAACAGCCTGGATTGTGGAGAGAAAAGCAATGAGTGTGGAATACAGAGATTGTTCTAAATATATATAGACAATGGAGAACTTACCAGTTGGTTCATTTTGACTTTCTCATCATTACTTAATTTCTTCATCTGTTCCATTTGTTCATTCAGATATTGTTCAGCTTTTATTTTTTGTTGTTCAGTTTGTTGAACTTTCTCTTCCAAAACTTTTTTTATTTTCTCTAGTTCCTGTTTTAATTCAGTTTCTCTTAGTTTTTTCTGCTCTTCTAGCTCTTGTAATTCCTGTTGATTATATATACATACTATACTCAGTTAATTTAAAAGTCAATTAGAGTTTAAGGGATTTCTAAAATATTCTACTTACCATATATTTTCATGGTACAAAGAGGCTATGTATTGAAACTAAGTATGTTTATTGGTTACAGAAACAATTTAAAATAAATTTAGTGAATGAATGTAATTCTGATTTTTACATGTAAAGATTCTAAATTGACAGTGAAGTCTACATGTGAAGTCTAAATTCATCCCATAAATATCATTTATTTACATACATTAACAGCCTGTAAATATTAATATAAAGTAATAAAAAATCATATACTGATTATTATCCTGTCAGTGGCATGTAACAATTACTAATTCATACTATTTGATATCATACCTTCTCTTTGGCTATCCTAAGTTGCTCAGTTTCTCTCCGAAGCATTTTTTCCAATTCTTGTTTCTCTTTTAACCGAACTTCTTCCTGTTCTTTCATTTTTGCAGTTAATTTCTCTAACAAGTCCTCCTTTGACGAATTTTTTCTATTCAACTCACTAAGGAATTCCTCTCGCTCTTTTAGTAGTTTTTCTTTGAGAGAATTATTTTCTTTTATCATTTCAGACTCTGCTTCATTATGTTTATTTATTTGATCCTGCAAATAAACATGAAATTATACTTCAAACCAATTGAAAAATATACCTACAGGTAGGGCAATTTTATTTAATGCATATCATATATAGAAATATAGATACAAAAAAGCTTAAATTACTGTAAAAAATCTTAGAATCAGTAAAAAATGATGTCATGCTAAATGTATAACAATAGTAGTTAATGCTTTTGGCTATCTTAATTAGGGTTACAATATTCATACCTATTATTAAATAAAATAATGTAGTAACCCAAGAATCCTGTGCTTTGAACGAACAAATACTTAAATTGAAATATTAACTCATACCATTAACTCTAATATTTTCCCTTCCATCTCTTCCTTGACTGTTGCTAGTTGAGCATCACGTTCAGCAATTTGTAAGGCTTTCTGTTCCTCAACTTCATTCTTTTCTCCCTTTAAATTTTCTATTTTAAGGGCATATTGAGACTCAAGATGTTTAATTTGCCTGTCCATATCAATTTGCAATTGGCTTTTTAACATCCTAGTTGTAGTTTGCATTTGTTTTCTATTATGAATTTTATCCTCTAAATGTTTTATTTCACAATTTTGAGACTCCTCAAATTTCATTTTAACATCATTTATAAAATCATTAGCATTATCATTAACTTCTAGTTTTATGCGTTTCCTTGGTATTATGACTGATTCAGGTTCAAAAATGAATTTGTATTTAAATTCTTCTGAGGGCTCTAGTACAATGATGTCTTCATTTGTCAGTTTTCTAATATTACCTTTTCCCACTTTATGGCCATTAACTGATATTCCAAAGGTACTGCTATCTTCAATAATCCATTCATTGTTAAATTTCCTAAATGTACAATGTTTTCTAGAGATTGCCAAAAATGGTATTACAACAGAATTTTGAAGTCCTCGTCCTAGTGTGAACTGTAAATATAAGAAAAACAAAGAAATAATTTTAGTTTTTGATATAATGCTAATATTAAAAGTTATGAGTAAACGCTGGAGCCACTGCGCCGACTGGAGAAAATCTTTATTTATGCTAATATAATTAAATACAATACTCAGAAACTTATGGGTCCACTAGTAAAATACATGTGTTAAACTAATGTAAAATATTAGACTTACCTCTGAAGAAGTAAACGATATTTCTTGGACATTATTAAACTCTGATTTTAGAGGGCTACAAGATATCAACAGAGGAACAGTTTCGTCCATATTTTAAATTTTCTTGTAAAAGCTAAATAATAAACATTAAAAATATCAATTTGATATATTCGATATTTGAATGGTTTTTTTTATTAAGAAATTTTACGGACTTGGAAAATCTCCAATGGCCAAATAATTATATTGATATAGATTAGCTATTACAGGTAGTGTTGTCATATCAAATTTACATTTTAAACTTTGTTCAAATATTATGATAAACTATTCTATAGTGTAGTGATACGCTGCGGCACCAGCTGAGTGGAGGCCCTTTCAGCTCATAGCGAAATATTAATTTTTAAGTTTTCTTTTTTACTCTGTACTATGATGCTGAATAAATGATTATTATTACTATAGGTACTCTGTGTTCAAAACTGGCGCTATGACGTTTTGATTTAGGTCTTTTGTCAAAGAGAAAAATATTTAGCTTTTCAGCGGCTGTATGGATGCAGTTCCCTTTGCCGTTCCGGTAAAGAATTAGACGTGGAGACATTATTTAACTTGGATGAAGGAGTATTCTTCATCAAAGTTAGTTAATTAAGAATTGAACTGGGATGATAATGAGGTATTTCTGGGATGCTGATGGGGTTATACAAAAATTAATGTAATAAAATAAATCGGTCAAGTCAAAGCATGTCATGTCATTGTAAACGTATTTCTAGGACCCATAACTACGTACTTTATATGCTCACATTTCGCTTAGTATAGTTTTAATTCAAATTGATAAATTTAGTGTGTTATAGATGTTTCCATCATCCGAGAGACACGCTGTTTTATTTTTTTCTCATTTTCTGATAGCTTTCACTTGTGAATTTAAGCGGGCAAGGCAGCCCGCGCATTTGTGTGTGTAAATGTATTCTTTAGCTTCAACTTTACTTTTAGTCTGTTAAAAGTGATTGGGAGTGGTATCTGAATGATCAGTGGTGATGGAAGACCAAGGTCAAGAATCCGTAATCCATGAAAACGATTATGTTATCCCGAATAATACCGAGAATAATGATGACAACTCTATGGATGATATTGAAGAACCACTACAAGTAGTCGAACCATTAAGTGACATGGAGTCTAGTTATAATCTAAGAGAGAGAGAGCGACTATACTTCATTCCAAAAAGTATCAAGACAATGTGTGCCACATAGGTACAGAGAGTTTTCCTGATACATACAAAGAAGCTATTGAGAGAGAGGATAGTTCTGAATGGAAAAAGTCTCAAAAAAAAGAAGGCTCAAAAAAAAAGAAGAAAGCTCAAAAAGAAGAAGAAGAAGGCTGAAGAAGAAGAGAACTCCAATCCCTTAAAAAGAACGATGTGCGGACATTGTGTGATTTACCATCTACAGAAAGCCACTTCCGTGTAAATGGGTTTTCAACATAATCCAAACGGAACCATTAATAAATAAAAGCTATGCTTGTAGCTATAGGATTTAAGCAACGAAAGGGCATTGACTATTATTATTAACAGACCTTCAGTCCTGTTCCTCGAATGGCCGCTATAAGAGCTTTGTTAGTGCTAAAGAAAACTTATATATAACACAATATGATGTAGCGTCTGCATTCCTGAATGGCAAGCACAAAGAAGACCGAGTTTTATATGAAGCAGCCAAATGGATTCAGTGACGGCATTTCAAAAGATTGTCTTTTAAATAGAAGTCTTTACGGCCTTAAGCAAGCACCGCGCTTTTGGAATTCTCGCTTTGACGAAGTTCTGTTAGAGAAGGGTTTCACACAGAATAGTGCCGATTGTAGTCTTTTCACAAAGAATGTGAAAGACAAGAAAATAATAATAACTTTGTATGTGGGCGATGGCCTCGTCGCCACAATAGACAACGCCTTGGCAGACCAATTCCTTAAAGAATTAAGACAAACGCTAAAAATAACAAGCAAAACAGCAAGCTACTATCTGAAATTGGAAATGCAAGATTGTAAGATGGTTTGCATTCCTAATTGATGAATATTGAAATATTCATCAATTAGGAATGTTCGCTAAAAAGATTTTAGATAGATTCCGGATGTTTGAATGCAATACAATCACAACACCTATCGATAGGACTTCTGAAACAGGGAAAGTTGGAGACCCTGAAGAGAAAAAGTTCCCATATCGAGAAGCTAGGTGCACTTGCATAACTGATGATAGGCACACGTCCTGATATAGCATTGTATACAGTTGGGCTAGTTTCAGAAAAATTAGGGAATCCATCTGAAGCTGATTGGCAAAGAGTGAAACGGATGTTTAGATATTTGAAAGGAACAATATCCTATGGCATAAAATATCATAGAAATGCCAAAGCCATAGTACAAGGCTACTGTGATCCAGGTCATGGAGACGATGACCTAACACGACGCTCTACTACAGGAGTCACCCGTTTATTTTCCGGAGGTGCCGTTTCGTGGCTCAGTCAAAGACAAGCATCAGTTGCGATATTTACTACTGAGGCAGAGATAGTTGCAGCGAGGCGTAGGCGCAGGCGAGCTAGTGCGGCTACTAGAGAGGAAGTGTAATGAGGTCTAGTAGAAATAAGGAAGACGAGTTCTACTGACCAATGAGCTGATCTTTTAACTAAGGCAGTTCCTAGACCAAGACTTGAGAAGATACGAGATAATTTGGGGCTGCGAGACATTTCTAACTAGTGAGGGAAAGTGTTAAGGTTGAATAGCACTAGTATAAAATCTAGGACTAGAGTGGTTACTAGGGAAACCCTCCTTGTTAATTGTCTCTAAAAAAACTGAAAATGTGTGTGTCATATACGTTTTTTATAAAGTATAAATAATAGTGTTCGTGTCGTGTCATGTAGGTACCTACTCGCCCTCTCACCTCACCTCACTTCCAGTGTGTAATACCCGTATCTGCTTCCATGGTTCCACGTAGCCATGTACTCATATACTTTTTGTACATCCCTGTCTATTGATGATAATCAAACAACAACAATAAATAAAGTAGCTCTATACAACGCTTTCAATTACTTTATAAAAAGAAGAATATGATTTAACTTGTAGGAGGCGTAATAAAAATGTTCACAAAATTAATTATTCTATGTTTCTCCTTTATCTTTGGAAAGTTTAATACAAAATAATGCCCGTTCATTTGCAAGCATGTTCTTTCAAATCGAAGAATAGGAATAGTCAAAATATTGGTTTAAAAAATATATGGTTATAACTGTGAGGAGAATGACGATGAAAGAATGACATATCTAAGGCAAAATTCTGTTTTCGTAAACCAACACACGAACCCTGCCTGCGCGTTAAAAATTCAGTGTGTACCCATCCGCTACGCTTGCATTTTTCGAGAGTACTAAAGTCTGCTTCGTTTATATTAAAGACCTCTATCTATTCGTTTTATCCGCCTCGAAATATGCTTTCACTCTCGTTGCCTCTTCATTCTGCCGGAGTCTGGGACTCCTAGCGCCATTTCATGTAAAAATGAAAATCTTTTCTCTAGAATTTTTATACACATAGGCATATCTTTTGCTAGTCGCTCAGAATTTTTAAATTATTTAATAACCTTATTGTGATCAAAGTCTTGTATAGTTATATAGTCTTAGAATACTAGGTACTCTACCCACGGCTGATAAACATAATATTCTAGTAGTCAAAAAAGGCTTCTTATCTATAATGAAGATTATGACAATATTTTTAAAGATCAACTAATATTGTTATTTTTTGTAAAACGCTACCAACTGTTAGCCGTGAGTCAGATCAGCTTAGCTGTTGCGTTAGAGTGGTATCTAGTGAAAAAAGTAAATGAGTTGTGTCGTCGGAGGGCGTAGAGAGGAGGGGCTTCACATCGGCCCTCGATATATCAACGTGGACAGGACGAAAATTGGACTGGACCCTTGTTAATGTCCCGTACTTAGGCCCTTCCGCCCTTGTTTCTGATTATTTATTTAAGACCTATTGATACCTAGCCCAACGAAGGGTAAGTAACAACCGCAAAAGTGACGGCAAATACCTTATAAGTGTATTGAATGCCATTCATTTTGTAAATGAGAAGTCCGCACGGCCTATACCGTATTTGTTTATTTTCTTTTTCTTTCTTAGATCGCATATGTAGTTTCGATTAGGACGCGTAGATAGTTGTGTCCACACGTCATATCGTAGACCTTGTCTCCTAAATGATCACTTTATAAACACTAGTTCTACAAAATATATTACATAGTGCTAGCCAATAACAGAGCAGATAAAATGTATAATCTTCGTATTTAGCATGTTTCCTAGGTAAAATCACATACACGAGCAGTTTAGAGAAGTGACAATCTGTTTTCAGTCGTATGCAAATCCAAAGTGGATTTTATATTCTTTCTAGTCCTGGATTTGTAAATAGGCCATATATTTTCGCGGCTTAGGGGTGGCAACTTCCTAGGGGCGGCAGATTTCAGAGGAAGGACAGTCATTCGATTTTAGAGAATAAAAGTCAAACAATTAAATTAGAGAAAATTATTATTTTAGAAAGGTAGGTATATACCTACATGGGGGCCTGCACTCATAAAAAATATAAATCCGACTCTGATTTCTTCTATACCTATATATATATACTTACACCGGAAATGAGATCGCCTATAGATGTACTGGTAATCTAAAATCAGGCAAAAACACAAATGAGACTATAATTTTCTGAACGTTTAAATCGTTGTTAATTTAATACTTAGCAGTATATCGCTTGCATTGTCTAAACGATTTATATGCGTGCATACTTGTAGTTATACTGTACCTATACGTCACATACACTATAGGCATATATATATATTTCTTACAAATTCGTGGTGAATTGGGATTTAATAAAATTAGTATTAATACTACTAATTTTATCTCATTATTAATAGCTGCGTAACTAGTAAAACTTTTGTTACGGTGTTCGATTGAATTTACTAATATCCATGGAAAATCAGCTTCCTTCTTAGATACACTCTAAGTCCCGATTAAAGCTTTTATCGGAGGACTGATTAAGTGTCGAGGCCACGATGGATTTATTGTAAAAGTTGGCCGTTCAGTGAGGTTAGTGATTCAAGCCCGCACACTTTAGCCGAATAATTGTCTACGTGATCGGAATAGCAGAGGTACCCTGGCGGCTTTAATAAGATCAGATAAAGAGCTCACACAGGTATAGGTGTGTGAGCAGACCTATTCAATGACAGTG